AAAAATACAGTATAACAAGTATTTACATAGTGTTTATAGCATTTATATTGTATTAGGTGTTATAAGCGATCTAGAGATGGTTGTAAGTATGCAGGAGGATATGTGCAGCTTATTTGCAAATATACCATTTTATATCAGGGACTGTGCATTCACAGATTTTGGTATCCACAAGAGTCATAGAGCCAATCCCTGATAGCTACTGAGGGATGACTGTATATAAAAGTCATTGATTGGGAGGCCGAGGTGGGTGGATCATGAGGTCAAGAGTTTGAGACCAGCCTGATCAATATGGTGAAACCCCGTCTCTACTAAAAATATAAAAATTATCCGGGCGTGGTGGTGCGCGCCTGTAATCCCAGCTACTCAAGAGGCTAAGACGGGAGAATTGCTTGAATCCGGGAGGTGGAGGTTGCAGTGAGCCGAGATTGCGCCACAGCCCTCCAGCCTGGGCAACAGAGTGGGACTCTGTCTCAAACAAACAAACAAACAAAAGACATTGAAAGAGAAAGATATATAATAGGGATAGCTGTGTTGATAGTTAATTAGCAGTTTGCACATTTGCCATGAGGTAATCAGTTTTGTGTGTGTACTTTCTTCTGTTTTACAGATCGCTTGACAATATCTTATTGTCGGAGTAGTGGTCCTGGGGGGCAGAATGTGAACAAAGGTACGGGGTGCCTTGTTGCTTTCTTTTGCTTTAAAATGTAGCTGGGAGGTGGGCTTGAGGAACTCTGTGTTTATGTTCATATGGAATAAAGGGATTTTTCAGCAGAAGCTTTAATACTGCCGGCTTATAATAATCCTCTCTATTCTTTTGAATGTGGTCTGATTCTCAGACATTCAGCTGTGGGTTGCTAGGACTAGGATCGGCTTGTGAGTCTAAACAAAGAGAAATCGCAGTGTGAGGTGGCAGCTAGCTCCAAGAACAAGTTTCCTTCATTCTGGTGCAACCCGTTCCCTCCATTTTTTTTTCAACCCAGTAAAACTGTAAGAGAAGCACTGGGTGCTTAGTTACCGGAAGTCTATTTTTGCCCAAGAGTGCCTCACTGTCTTTGCAGACTTGTTCATAGCCAACTTGGACATAGGCTAGAATGTACATGGTTAGGTCTCTGGCCTCCCTTTGTTTCAGGATGGTTACTGGTCACCCAGGGGTTGATCCTTCCTGGAAGTCTCAGGCACCCATGCTCCCTTCTCCCTTTCATCCACAGTGAATTCCAAGGCGGAAGTCAGGTTCCATTTGGCAACTGCCGACTGGATCGCAGAGCCTGTGCGGCAGAAGATAGCCATCATGGTAACCACCATTCCTTTCTTTCCCTAGAAATCCCTCAGTGGCTTTTAAACCTTTACTCTGTAGGACTCCAGTTTTTCCTTTGTCTTCTGCAGCATAAAAACAAGATCAACAGGTTAGGAGAGTTGATCCTCACCTCTGAGAGCAGCCGCTATCAGTTCCGGAATCTGGCAGACTGCCTGCAGAAAATTCGAGACATGATCGCTGAGGCCAGCAAGACACCCAAGGAGCCAACAAAAGAAGATGTTAAACTTCAGAGAATCAGG